AGCGACCAGATTCATGTGTATTTATTTCATTATAGTACGAACTATAGAAGCGTTTGAATGTAAAATTTTATTTTTTGCTGACATATTGCCTTATCCACTTTTTTAACCTGCAACTGCTTCGAATGAAATAACTTTTATCAAGGCATCTGTGATGTTTCCCCCCTTTTTTATTTTCCAAGTTACTTTGAATTTCTTTTACTGACCCATTTTTCGTTCAATTTCTATCGAGTTGACTTAATTATTTTAGGGACTTTCAACATGTTGCTGTTTAAAATTTTTAACTCTTCTATAATAACTGAACATATATAAAACGACAGGGAATGAGCTTACCAGGATTCCATCATGCAAGTCTTATTAGAGAAGATTTTTTTCTTGTGACAAACGGAAAATCCACCTTAAGCACAAATAACACTTGTAGTGTCTGGTTCAATCTTCGAAAGTTGACAAAACACCAGAAACTAACAGGCGTATAGCCCCCCATTGGAACAGCGGTATGTCTGCGTACTTACAACGCTAGAAACCGATAGCCCATTGTGTAGCTTTGTGCATAACTACAAACAAGACAACAACAACAACAAAAAAAGGCTTATAATCCGCTAGAAAATCAAACTGAAATTTCAGATACCTTTCTTCCACATTCCTTTCAATTTATCCGTGCGGATTCAAAATGATAGGAATTCAAAAACAGCGTTTCAGATCTATAGTGTGTTTCCCACAAGTCACTCACTACGTAAGATAAATTTCGTCCATTTAGCCTTTTCCTTTGTCCACATAATCAACACTATTATACTAGATGTACTTCCCCAGAGTCCCCTAAAGTATTCTGTTTCAAGAGTAAATAAATCAAAATTAAGAGTAACAAATATTTGTATTTCTTGCTTTTGAAGTTTATATGTCATGCTGTGTTGTAGCCTATAGAGTACATAATTATTCTCGTGATTCAGGGCATGTGCACGTTTTACTGACGTAACAACAGTACAAATTGCAACGTTAAGCATTTCCTATGTGACTGTGTGTACTGACTGACTGACAGATAACACACTACTGTATAGTGGTTAAAACAGGCGACCTTCGGCATTCTTTCAGGGAAGTAGCACCAACCTCAAAACACTAGCACTATTAGAGCATTTGCCCCAGAACACCATTGTTGCTACAGAGCGTGCATCTCTTTTATAGATATTCTTGATGAAGAAAAACTTGGAATTAAGACAATTTCATGGATCAGGTCATTTGGATCGCTGTACGGTTTGTTGTGTATATATACACCTGGAAAAAAGTTAAGCACCCCCAAATATTTTTTCAGGATTGCTTATTGAAAATAAGGTTTAATTTTCATGATGTTGAGCAATGTTCATAATTTCAAACATAATTAAAAGGATGTGAGCGTTCAGGTGTGACATTTAAATCAGGCAACTTGCTCCCTTCTTCACGTCCAATATGCACTATTTTTTCGTGCATCAAATCCGTATTTA